GGCTCGGCCTGGCGTGAGATGGGCACCTGCCAGGGAGTAAAGAATGTTTCTGTATTTTCTTCTTGTAGTGGTTGCCCCCGGCTATGGGAGAAGCGGCCCCCCGACCTTATAACTGAAGAACGTGCTTGTTAAGACTGCATAGCTGTTTGTTTTTTAGCAACTGGAGTTAAAGAGCAGCAGCTTGTCTGGGATATGCAGAAACTGTACTGCCTACCCTCATTATTAAGATGTCAAAGGGCGTGGTAGACCTGTTTTTTTGGTTGGATGGGGGCATTTATTTTGGGCCCCCACACACACAGACATAAAGAATGCAGCCCCGTCTTGCTGCCACGTGTGCTCACATCCCAATGCAACACTCACACCCTTAGCCAACGCTGTCTGAATTCTCCAGTTGCCTGGAAACTCATACAAACCGCTTGGGTGTTAGATCCGTGCCCTTCCATAGAGAGCACAGGTGAGTTGCTGGAGAGGGCTGCTGGTAGTTAAGCAGGCCAGCAATTCAAATGTGCTAATAGGCTGAAGCATCTAGTTGTTTTTCTTACTCACTGTCATGGCACAAATTCCACTCCTATCACTTTGCATTTAATGCTTTAACATGGGCTCTGTGGCCAGCACTGTGCTCTCACATCTCTGTGGGTTTAAATCCTGTTCCCAGAGAATTCATGTTAGTGTGGGTTTCCTCTGGGTACTCTAATGGTTTCCGTATCTAAATTACTTTGTGTGCGTGCCTGGGGAGTCGAATGCGACCTATATAGATTATACGTCAATTTTCCATTTTATTTGGTACGCGTTTGCACTGAGACTGGGGACAATCCCAGCATGAAGCAGGGAAACACCCTGGATGATATGCTCGCCCACTGCACGGCACACACACACACCCGGACAATTACACCCCAGGGCACTTTAAAGAAACCAGCCGATCCTAAATGTATCCATTATATACCGAATACAAAAGTGGTACTACTCCTCTCCAGAGCTTTGTATAGAAGTACTTCTGCAGCTTTGTAAGCCTCAGTGTCTGCTGAGAAAGTTGTCAACATCAATCGATAGTATTCACACACAAGTGAGGAGGTTTGGATAAAGCCGACAGCCAGGAAGGGAGTGCGGAGCTTCTGCCCAGATGCATTTACGGGACTCTATCGATCGATACCTTTTTAGCATTAAATGCGATAGTTTAATCAGTGAATCAATACAATAGTAACGGGAAATCTTCTCAGGTAACTTTGGTGCTCGTTGTGTGTCAGTTACAAATAGCCTTAGTGTATTTACGATCGGAGTAAATTAGATGAAAGAAGTTAAACGGAGGACAGTAACCAATGAACGGCAACGAGTCCAGGGGTGTGTCCTTGTTGTTTCGTAATAAATGGAAGGACGAAAACACGGAATTAATAATTAATCGGGCTTGTGGAAAATGTATCGATGTGGGAGATTTGTGCGCCCCATTTGCGGTAGCCCGGAGGGGTAAAGAGGGTGATCCTTTTACGGGAGCAGTCATCGATTGCAGAATCTGCGTCCTCCCGTTTGAGTCGAGCTATATGGACAGGATGTGCACGGATTCCGATCGCGATTTGTGTGACATTTGGGTGATGACGCTATATACTGTACAGTACTAACCACACTGCAGTAGTGTGTGAAATAGTGAAGGCTTAGTCAGAAATCGTTTGGTGAAGGGATCTATCTATCTATCTATCTATCATCTATCTATCTATCTATCTATCTATCTATCTATCTATCTATCTATCTATCTATCAATCATTACTGAAACTTGTACATTGCTTCCATATTTCTCCTCCATGAAGGCTGCTCTCCAGCCAGTCTGGCTATCAGAGTGAAGTGAAGATGCGTTCATGCTGTGATACTATACTGAATACTAATTATGGCAGCAATCCCAGCAGCCTGTTTTACAGCCTGTGCATATCAGCCAGCTCCTTTCTATGGGAGTTGCCAGCCCCGTCATGGTGGATGTGTTTTACATTTGCATGTAAAATGACGGGGAAATGAGTTCATCGTTCTCTGTCTTTCATAGACACAATTGATATAGACTGGAGTGTCTCAGGCTGGATATTCCTCATGTTTTGTTATTAAATTGTATATTTTTACCGGTTAGACCTTTCAGGGCTGTGTTTTCAATTGTTCTTCCTTATGTGTCCATTGTTGGTTGTAGTTCTGGTTTGTAGGCCTTGTCATTGTCAGTTTGCTGCATCCTTTTGAAGCTAAGCTACCTATCCCAAGTCCTGTCATATGTAGCCAAGAGAACAGCAATCTTAATGTCAGCCAATCAAAATCCATGGATTAAACTGACGACTGATTTCATTGGTGGAGCCACATCTTTGACTTGGCTTCCCTTGTCATCACTTCCAGAGATGTCCAATCCATTTACAGTCATTATTTTAAGTTGGCTCTGTAATGCTAACATGGCTGCAGGATAAAGTGCTGTATTTTAACTTGATTATTGAAATGTACATCGTTATGGTGTGGTTCATGAAACAGTAGCTGTTTCGAGGGAGTCACACAAGATATGTGACTGTTGTCTGCCTGTCCGTCTCAGGTGTTTTGTTCCTCGATTCCCAGTTTTCCAGAAAGGTTGGAGAAAAAATCCCAAGTATGAGGCCTCCTTCTCTAAGGGTTGACAGTGTAACATGTTTTGACGTGTAGGGGGAGGGGCTTTCTGTGCTGCTTCCATTCGTTCAGGTTCTGGCAACAAAGACCCCCCTGCGTCGGTTTATATTAGGATGCGTCCGGAGTCTCCATAGCGGTGGGCCTTTTCATAACCAATCAAATCATTCATGCTGAGTGATCCGGAATGCTTGTGGGCCTCAGCTGATTGGCCCAGAATGCTTAGGAGGTTCAGCTGATTGGCCCAGAATGCTTAGGAGGCTCAGCTGGTCCGGAATGCTTAGGAGGCTCAGCTGATTGGACCAGAAAGCCAAAAGACCAGTTCTAAAAGGGAGAGTAACAGTGTAAACAGTCTTGGGTCACACTAGTAAAGACAACACCAAACCTCAGGTACGTCTGGGCTAAAAATCAGGTCTCTCAAGTTCCAATTCAGAATCAAGTGCCACTATTGTCATTATACAGGTAGCAGGTGCAACGAAATTCCATCTTCACATATCCTGTCTATCTCTCTTGTAAGACATGCATATATATACATGGTGACAGTAATGCTTGGGGTCAAATCCAGGCACAGTTTTTTGGGTTTAAAGGCTTCGCTCAAGGGCCTTGCTGTGATCATCATTGACAGCTATGGGATTCAAACCAGTAACATTCTGGATACAGGCAACTAACCCACTGGATAACATAATTTTAACTGATAAAATACATTGATCTGGGAGGAAGGCAGACTGTTGAGATGCGCACGCACTCACACACACAAACACACCCACACACACACATACAAACAAAAATACATTGATTTTAATGTGAACAGTAATGGAAACACCTAATCGGGGAAACGCTGCACGACACCATGATCACCCAGACGGTGGGAATTCTTTATGCGTAATCTGAGCCCTGGCTGTTCCTCAAAGCAGGCCAGCACGCGGCTGTTTGGCAGCAGGCACGCACTATTAAGCTAAAGAAACACGCTGACCGGCCAAACTCACGCACACTGAGCACACACATTAAGATTCCGCTCCCGGCTCCTTTGTAGTTCAGATAGCAGGAGCCACGAGATGAAGTCCGTTGCCCGGTGGTTTCCATGGAAACCCCAGTCGTAGAACACTGGCCTTTTTAACAGTAACTGCAGTATTACAGTAGTACAAAAAGAACTTAGAGTCTGCACAGGTGCTGGCATTTTCCGAGTGGTTTACTTGAAGTCTGTGACAGTGGCTTTTATCTTGTATGATGCCTGTGGGCCCCAGAGTTCAGGAAAAACTGCTTTATGCGCCAGTTAATAAAGGTGAATCACAGGTCAGTTCAGTGGAACTGCGGATTTGCCTTGCATTTCAAGAATCTGTGTTTACATACATGTAAGGGTAGGGGTGTGTGTGTTTGTGTGTGTATGTCCTGTGATATGATACACTATTGATATGCCAATTTGGTACATACCTGGAATGACAGTGACCTGAACTGGATAAGCCTTTGGATGGAAGTGATTCACTACTCTAGCCATTCACAACTTGCCCACCAGAGCACTGATGTCATGTGACTCAATCAGAGAAATTCCACCTTGGGTAAATCTTTCCAGGCCCTGCAATGGCATCCATCAACATGCTTTAATACCGATTGCGGTGTGCATGCTTTTGTGGGTTAGCAGTCTGTGTCCAGAAAGTCACTGGTTTGAATCCCATGACTGGCAAAATAATCATGTCATTAGTGGACCCTTGAGCAACGCCCTTGACCCCAGAAACCTGTCCAAGGGTTCGGGAAGAATGGCCGACCCTGCATTCTAATCCCAAGTGTTGCTGGAGCGTAAGATGAGATGTGTGGAAACCAAGAATTCCTACGTATTTTTGTGCAAAGGCAACATGGCAAATAAAGTATCATCGTTGTCATTAAATTTCTTCCCCCTAGAGGTGATTCATCCAAGATCATGAGCAATGTTATCTATGATGACACTCTCCCCCCCCCCCCACTAATAATGACAGACCTAAAAGGATGCCAGACCACTGGAGATATGGTAACCAGATGAGGCTCCAAGGCTGTCAATGACCAGGCTCCGGTCTCCTCCAGGGGGCGCTGACTTCTGCCTCACTAGGCTTGTGTTTAACCTGGATAAGTCACTGTGACGTTCCAGGACGAGTTCGTGACTAACAGCGAGCCACTCGGCATATTGGACATGGGAAAAGTCAATGGGCCAGGCGACACGGTGGCACAATGAGTCAGCGAGTCCTCCTGTCACTCGAGGTCTGCCTGGCAGATAAGAAGAGTCACTTTCCACAGCTGTCTTTGTTTAGCAGCATTCTGAGAAGACGGCAAAGATGACCAATCGTTGTCATACTCCTGATAAATGTCATCATGCCCCTTACTCACTGCCTGCCTTCACCCCCCTCTCCCCTCAGTGAACGAATACCTCTTCATGGTCCAAGCCCGCGGACTCCAGATTCGAGAGAATGTGAGAAGCATTGGGGTCCAGGTCTTAGAGCAGATGGTTCGGGGAGCCTACAGCAACAACACAGGTACTGTGATGCAGCAAACCTGATGAATCCTGGGTATGTAGGGGTCAGTGGGCGGCCATTTTGAAAATGACTCCACTGGTACCCCAAGCCATTATTTGTCTGGGATATTGACCACAGTTTTTAATATTTTTCTGGAAGTCCTATCCGATCCGCCATGGATCATTTGATGGCCCTTCCCCCAAGGGAGAGCTGACGACTACCACACACTTTCCCCGATACTCAATCAATCAATCAGTCAATCAATCAGTCAGTCAAAGTCTTATTTGTCACACACGCAGTTAAACTCCGTAAAATGTCTAGTGACATGCTTGGTTGTTTAGATCCAGGTTTCCCTCGTCAGTGTGTGTGTGTTGGTATCCCTCGTCAGTGTGTGTGTGTGTTGGTTTCCCTCGTCCAGATTATGCCTACGACTTCAATGTCAGCGAGCTGCACATCCAGACCACCACCTACCTCCCGGAGGGCTACACATACCTCCCCAGCCAGAGATGTCCTTTAAAGCTTCCATCTATGAGTAAGGATGAGCTCCTTCTTGCTGTTCTATGCTCTCTTCTATTTCCTACCGGATGGATGTATGGGTGGATGGATGGATGGATGGACGGACGGACGGACAGATAGATAGATAGATAGATAGATATATATATAGATAGAAAGTAAGACAGATAAATATAGTCAGGCAGACAAGACAGACAGACAGATTCCTGGGTTGGCAGTGTGATCCCAAAATTGGGCCCTTGAGCAAGGCCCATAAGCCCAATTGCTCCAGAGATGGCTTTCTCCTTTATGCCAGTTTCATGAGGTGGCGTCCTGGGATGCTTTTCCAGCTGTCCTGAGGGCCAAACTCCTCCCAAACCGTCTCTACCGTGCTTACTGTACTTGGCCAGGTCATGTGTTGCGACACGATCACTCTCCTTTGTAGGCAGCTTGGTGTGTCCAAACTAGGACTGTACATAAATAAACACAAACCCGTTGGGACCTCATGAGTCCGTGTGACACCCTGCCCTTTCTGCATGTGCCCATCAGAGGGACGGGTGGACGTCAACATGAGCGAGGTGGCCCTGTCGGAGGTGGAAAGGACCCTGCTGCTGGAAGACCCCAGCTTGGCCCTGGGGGGCCACTGGAAGCCGCATGACTGCATGCCACGTTGGAAGGTGAGGGGAGGCCCTATTGGGGTGGGTGGGTGTTGGGGGGGCCTTCTAACTTTGGCCCATTAAGGGGTAAAATATGTTAATATTGCAGCATGCATTTCAAACACCCCTTTGGAAGCTGTTATTTCATAAACATCCTCATTTGATTGTCCCATCACAGGCTTGCTGGTTTGTAATTATATCTTTGTGGGGACTCTCTATTTTTTTCTATGGGGAAAATTCTGATCCCAACATGACGACCTTAACCCCTACCCAGCCCTAACCTTAACCAAAGTAACGAAATCGGGGTTTTTTTTTTTTGTGCCTTATGTATTCTTTAAGAGTATTTTTAACACCTAACCCCATGACGCCAGACGCTAGTTCACCCAGGCAAGGCTGTTTCCCGCCACTATGTGAAGATTAACCAGGCAAAAAAAACATATAGGTTTCTTATTCAAGGAAAACAGAGAGAGAGGGAGAGAGAGAGAGCGTGACCTGTAAATGGATTGGGTGAGCCTGTCATCACGCCTGACAAGTTTCCTGGGGGTGGCGGGGAAACAGACCTCCATCACTTCCTGTGTTCTCCCTTTTACATTATCACACCCACACAGGGTGTGCTCTGTTTGCAGAAGGTAACTTGAGCACTAAGGCAATGTTCGCCTTCATTTCGAAAGCACAATAATGGGCCAATTTGGACAAACAAGCAATCAGCACAAGGCACTGAGCCGTTCACCTCGTGTCGGGAGAGGGGATCACACACACAGACACACACAGACACACTTCTGATGCTGACCGTGCCTGTGATGGTATAACGTGTAACACTCCTCACAGTAAACATTAGCTTTTGAGAAAAGGATCTCACGGTACGTCATAGGAGTCCATTAGTTTTCTATATACTGATACATTTTGGACTTTGCTTAATGTTTTACTGATAAATTTACGCTGGCCTGGTTCACCCGCTGTCGCCTGTGTAGTCACAAATAAAGTTTTATATTATATTATAGCCTAAAAGTAGGGGGTGGCTTAAGGGTATTCCTGGGGGGGCTGTGAGGTCGAGGTATTAATTGTCACACCTGATCCCAGGTGGCCATCCTGATCCCATTCCGGAATCGCCACGAGCACCTGCCGATCCTGCTCCGACACCTTGTCCCAGCTCTCCAGCGACAGCGGCTCCAGTTCGGTTTCTACGTCATTGAGCAGGTACACCTCAGTTACCCCACACAGCCTGCAGGGGGTGCCACACTTTCCAGAGCACGCCCCCGAGCACCCACGTACTTCACACAATTCCAGTCATTCTGGTCTGTGTTCCTGATGGGGAAATTCCTTCCGCTTACACAAAGCCAAACTTAACTCACTCTGTGTGACTGTGAGGATGAATTCCAGATTAGCCCAGATTTCCGTCCTTCCTGGCACTAAGAGTGATAAAAAAAAAAAATCCACGTTTGTAAGGAAATGCTCCCCCATGTGGTGGGAATGCACATATGTCTGGGTTCTACTGTTTTGCTGTAAAATTGACACTGCAAGGTAGCTACCGAAAAACAGATGTGATGGGGAAATCCCAACAAAACTAACACAAACCTCTTTTACAGAAAGTGCTAAAAGCTTGAGTTTGCTTTTTTTTCTGAATGAAGTTAGGAGTTGTGTGGGTTCTCCTGGACAGGCGGGCACCGAGGCCTTCAACCGTGCCATGCTGTTCAATGTGGGCTTCCGGGAAGCAATGAAGGACCTAGACTGGGACTGTATGGTCTTCCACGACGTGGACCACATCCTTGAGAACGACCGAAACTACTATGGCTGCGGAGAGATGCCGCGGCACTTTGCTGTCAAGCTCAACAAGTACTCATACATGTGAGTGCAAGCACCCCCCCCCCAAAATGCTAACACACATACCGCACTTTCAAGATCAATACGCCTACTGCTTCACAGCTGCTTATCGCTTCTAATAACACTCAGCTCAATATTATTTAGCAGTGTAGCACATATTTTCAAGCTCCTACCGTGACCTTTACCAAAGGAATGGTAAATAGTGGTTTATAAAGCCAGTAATAAGTGGACACTGAAAATGCATTAATGGTGACTCCTAGAAAGTCAAGAGTCAAGAGAAAGTCAAAAGCATCGGGGTCCAGAAAAGAGTCGAGACCAGAAAAAGTGAAGACTATGGATTATAGAACTGGGAGGGTGAGCGGTTCTGGTCATATGACTGAGCTGCTGGATGCAGAGGATTGAGCAATAACTCTAGGACACAGCACAGTGAAAAGCTGAAGTCACATGACGCATCTGCTACATGCGGTGGACCAAGTCATAGTGGTCAGGTGTCCCATCTCTTGGACACAGCTGATTGCATAATCGTGGTCAAGTGACTTGTGCTTGTTGCATTAGACTCATACGTAGTCAGGTGACCCAGCTTCTGGAAGCAGCAGCCTTTGAGACTGCAAGTGCAGTGCTTTGGGTCAACATGTGAATCCATCCTCAGTGGTCTGATTCATTTCCATCCATGCATCTACAGTAACTGCCTATCTGGTACCCAGCTGTGGAATTAGCCAAAAGCCAATTCCAAAATACAAAGTGATAAAAGACATGCATTCAGGATGCACCCATTCCCACCCATTGTTGAGTGTCATTATCCTTTTGTCCTTAAACCACAGTACTTATCGCTGCATTATTATCTCTATTATGATCTTCATTATCTTCAGTGGTAACTTCATCCCTTTTATGTGAACACGGCGTCTAACGGAAGAGCCGTGTTCACATAACACATACAGCCTGGTTACACCTAACAGTTTGCTAACAGCTTGTCTGCGGGTTGACGTGAGCGTTGGCCATTCTGAAATCTGTGGCAGAAGGTACAGTTGCATCCAAGTTAGTAATGCCAAGTTCAGCAAGAGCTTCTTCCCCTTATGCTACCCATCTTACCCCCCACTTTATCGTGAGAATACTCACCCGACTAACCCACACTGATCACTTTAACTAATTATAATTTATCCTGTTATTATCAGCCAACAGTCACTATATTTATTCCACTCCTTTAAGCTGCTATGACTTATTGTTTACACACATTGCACTATGTATATAAACCCCTGTGTCCAGCCACCTGTTTCACACTGTCCTGTGTTTTGAACTTTAAGTCCTGTTAAACCCTGTAATTGTCACTTGCTGTATGTCACACTCTATGTGGTCCTGAGGGACAATATTTCATGATACTATATACCTGTATATTGATGGTATAACAATGTTGCCCATTTGACTTGACTTGACTTGACCTTCTGGTCTGTTTTTCCCCCTCAGGCTGCCATACGGCGAGTTCTTTGGTGGGGTCAGTGGCCTTACCGTCGAGCAGTTTCGAAAGATTAACGGCTTTCCCAATGCCTTTTGGGGCTGGGGAGGTGAGGATGACGACCTGTGGAACAGGTACGACTGCTGGCACCTCCCTTAGTGTCGGTACACGCCTTTGGTATAAATGTAGAATATCACCATGCTCCACCCGCTACTCAGCATCTGACTGTCATCCAGAGGAATTCTCATAATTACTTACAAGGAAGCACTGTGATTCCATTCCATTTGTTTGGTTTGATCAAGTGAATCACAAGTTCTCCGATCGCCCTGTACTTCCTACCATTAATGGGCCGTCCTCACTGGGCTCTCTGCTCATTGGCTCTGCTCAGTTCTGTGGGCCGGAGTTGGGTGGAGCATATGCCCCGATACATGGCAGATGTCTTGTCTCTCGCAGGGTCCAGTTTGCGGGCTACACCGTGAGCCGCCCCTCAGGCGATGTGGGCCGCTACATGTCCATACCACACCATCACCGTGGAGAGGCGCAATTTCTGGGCAGGTGTGTACCACCCCAAACTCCAAGAAGCACCTACGACGGCCCTCTATGCAGTACCGTGCTTAATCCTCTCCCTTTGGTCCCCGTAACAGATACACCCTCCTCCGCCAGTCCAAGAAGAGGCAGGAGGTAGATGGTTTGAACAACCTGAACTATTCACCCAGGATCTCCCGAACTGCCCTATACACCAACATCACTGTTCACTTGACCAAGGAGCTGGCCCCAGTGGCTGACTACTGACCCCTCCCTGGAGGTCATGGGGGTTTAGGGATAGGGGATGGAACTGGCTGAAACCATCTGTCCAGGGAATGATCATCTTCTGAAGATATCAGATGGCGCCTTTCTTAAAGGAGACAAGTTTCCCAAATCATCAATGCACACGGACATTGGGCAACATGACACTAGCACTGGACGTTCTTTTCCGGGTTTTGGGTCACTCCGCGTCTCTGTGTTTGGCTCCAGGATTTTGCCGGGGAAACGCCTCACACACATCTGCCTTCCACATCTTATTTTGGGCCTTGCTTTTCGACGGCAAATTCTCAAACCAAGTTTACATCCAGTTTCACACTGAAACAGCCGAAAACTGGAGGAGGTACTCTTGCCAGAAAAGTCTCCTTCGCCACTGGCCAGAAAACGCCAGATTCTGACAGGGATCAATGGGAAATGCCATTTTCTCCGCCACACACGGAATCCGTTTTTCACCCATACAGCCTTCCGTTATCAGTTCACCCTGAACTGATATGAGAAAATATCTAATAGCTTATGTGGATCTGATGAACGCTAAAGCCCCCAGGATTTAAAAGGCATAAAGAGAACACTTGTATTTATTTAGCAGATAGTTTTACCCAAAGTGACATACATTTATTTTTGAGACAGCATGGTTAGCTAGTCCATGGAGAAATTGCAGATTAAGGGCCCTGCTTAAGGGTCCAATGGTGAAATTGCTCTGCCGATGCTGGGATTCAAACCTAAGCTGTTGAGCCACACTCTACCCCAGGAAATGCTGGCCAGCAGTGCTTTGTGGGTTTATGCTCCACATCAGAAGGGCATTATGCTCTGGGAACCTTTTCCATTTTGGGGAAGTTGAGGGCTTTGGTGGCCAGAGTTCTGCTATGATGCAGAGCCGCTGCAATTTCCCTCTGTTAAAAGAGGGTGGTGATTCCCAGGAGACCGGACTGAGCAGAAGTTGGACGCTGTGCCCTTCCCCGCCATGCGAGGGGTCTCCCAGAGTGCACCAGGCCGTCAGTCACCCCCACCAGACAGGCGGACGAGATCAAAATCCAAGACTGTGAAATGACACTTTGGGAGAAGTCCGAATGACTGCAGAAGCCCGCAGAAATCAGATATCCGTCCCCTGTCATCAGATCCACCTGCGTTTAGCTGTTAGATGGTATCTTCCTGACATAGAGCCATCGTTTGTCTGTAAATGCGTGCGTAAGTGTAAACCTGTATGTGTGTGTAAACGTATATGTAGATGGTTTCTTCTATACTCATTTTTTTTTTTGCTCTTTTCCTCAAGTTGCAAACTATTTTTTGAGCAGCTGCGTTGTATACTTAAAATCCTGTAAAGGGAGACGGACGGTGAGCTGTGTGAAATTCAGCATGTTTACAGTGTTTCTGTCTCACTCCCTATATATATCTCCTGTGGACAGCGTGACTCCACCGTACTGACCGGGCGACCAAGTAGATCAGGAACCAATGCGCTTTTGTGAATTTCTAACTTAATGATTATTCCGATCTTTTCCTTAATCTGAGATCCCAAAATTCCTGCTGCTTTTTGTGTGGAATATTCAAGATGACTTTCTAGCTAGAGGCATGCTAGAAGAAACCAATGAGGGCACATACTCTTTGCACAGGATACAGGGGGTTTTACTTACTCATCTGCTACTTTTTACCCACGTTTACATCCGAATCTGAATCCGCGTGTGCTCAGAGACAGACCGTTCCTGGTATACATGCTGCAGCCGTTTCTGAATGCATTGGGGCAGTGCTGTAAACGCTGAGTCATCCTGTGCCAACATCGTCTGGCCAATGGCATTACGGGCCGGCTGTCCTTAAACCCGACCCCAGTGTGACTCCTTGCCCGGACCTCAAAGCACCTGAGGAGATTCACACAACGAGTCTCCCTTCATGGCTTTGCATTGAACAAAAACACCTCGATCATAGAGTCAACGTTATTTTTTTGGCATAGAGGGAAGAATTCCTTCGTGCCATTACAGAGGCTGGCCTCTACTCGTTTTATTTATGGACTTTTTAAAATTACCTTTCATCAATTCCGTTTTGCTTCAATGATTGCAATTTGGCCTGAGGAGTTTAGGTTAAATACTTCAGCTGAGTGGAAGAAGTGATGTGTAAAATCGCAGCGCTGAGTGGTATAGCTGGGGAGCAAAGGCTCCATGTCCTGCGGAAACTGGGGGGGGGCAGCCTTGTGCTCTCACCAGCCAGACCCACTTCTCTGCGTCTTATCAACGGTGCTGCTCTTGAAGACAAGTCACATTGTGCTGACCGGAGGCATCATGATAGTATCTTTGTTTTCCTTTTAAAAAAAAAGGAAAGCACAAGTTGACAGCACAGAGCCAATCTTAAGGAAGTGCTCAGTGAGGGTGGGGGTTGTTGTTTTTTTTGTAGAAAAACACAATATGTGGGCACATGTAGCGGCCACTATTTCAGAGCGGGGGAGTGTCCCCAAAAGCGTGGTCCCGGCCAGTTTTGGCTGATTCTGGATTTATGTCTGGGGACGCCATGACCCCGCTGAAATTCCCCACGTGCCTCGTTTCTGTGAGAGCCATGATGGATTTGGTTTCCTGCCAGCCCAAATGATGGACCCCCGGTCCTGATCGACTGGCAGCCTTAAATCTTTCATGCATCCTAATGTTCTCATGTGTTATTCTTTAATTTTATATGAATAAATATTTTAAAATGTATATCTGTTAATGGTCACTCGTCCACGTCTCATTGTTGCGTGTCATCAGTATAAGAAACTAGACCTAATGAGGATTTTTTTTTTTTTAAATGGCTTCCTTCTCAACTCTGTGCCATTTATCAAAACCGTAACATTCCACTACACCCCATCCTGCCCTCCCATGCGCGCGCACACATACAACACACAGAAACATACACACAAACACACACTTCACGTTGTCAACCTCCACATGTCGTTTGTGGCGTCCCCTCCCCCACACTTAAGCGAAATTTCGCGCCAAGTGTGGCAGACGCACAAATGTCCAGTGACAGCAAGATGGGCACCATGATGTGGGACTGGCAGGACGAGGCATTTTTATTGGGGGGCGGAACGTTATTTTAAATGGAAAGAGGAAGGGTACGGAACAGGACCGAGAGAACACAGGAGCACATCGAATAAATGTGCTGTGTTGGTGAAGAGAGGAATGAATTAGCAAGCACATGCGTGTGATGTGGTAGTGAAAAAAATCCGCTCCCCGCTTTGTTGGTCCGCTGGCGAAGTGGAACGTTTTTAGCTTTAACGCGGAAACGGGGGAAAACACGCATGAGGTGACCTACCCCAGGTTCTCACAGAGTCTGTTCAAACAAGACGCCGCGTGCACCGGGATCGCTGGGTGGGTACCCGCCTCCGAATTCGACTCGAGCCACAAGCGAAAAAAAAAACATTCGTATCAGTGTTACGTGTTTTGTGTAAACCTGCATATTGCTGTCTTTTGAGTTTTTTTTTAATCACTGTTATTGTTCAGTCACATCAATAAATTTTGAAAAATGGGTGCTGTCGTGCATATCTATTTCTATAGCGTGAGCAAGGAATAATCCACCCCTCCTTCGATGCCACCGGTCTTTATACTTTCCCTGATCTGCCGCGTGACATCAGCTGACATGGGGACGTCACGCCGTCTGCGCGTGCTGCTTCCATTAGGCCTACCTTGTCAGGCGGCGACGTGTGGTTACTTTCCTCACCATGTCTGCCCTGTGAGTCGATTTCCTGGAGATGTGGGTGAGATATAACCATGCTGTTCGTCAGCCAGTGCATGTATAAATACTTAACAGCTCGTCCTAGTAACCCCCCCTCCCCGCGCGCATAAAGCGTGTAAAAGTCATGACTTTAATGACCTTGACCGCCTTCTACCTGAAGTCTTGTTTCCAGCATGCCTGAAGTACACAAATACGGCCAGTCTATAGTGGCAAAAGACCCTCATCACCCTTCCAGGTGGAGAGACTAAAGGCGAAACACCTCCTGTCCTTGTCACCTTGTCCGAAAGCCCTGTCCCTGCCAGCAGACCGATTCGGATGTACTGTAACTGTAGTGTGACTGAGCCTAGGGGTGGAACAGCAGCCGCCCTTCCGCCGAAGCAGCGGTGCTATAATACCAGGCGCGATTTTATTGTCCGTTTAATTTCTTTATTCGGATTTGACTCGGATCAGCAGAATCCGTGCTTCGTATACATATAGTGTAAAAGTGTCAACTGTGCACACGTTAAGGGCGTGTCTATAAAATAAATTGCCGTTGTTTCTCTTGGAAGAAAATGAAACCGCAATTTAACGTGCAATTTGTGTTCATTTGACACGTCGCCAAATAGGCTTTCTTGGAATCGGAAGCAATGGAAAAGGCGGGATATTCTCAGGGATGTGACTCTAGACTAACTTATCAAAAGCAAATTTGATTTTCCTTCCTTATCCTTCACAAGGACAAAAAAAAACCGCTGCCAGCTTTTAAGAGCCTTTTCAACAAGACTCATACAGTAATTTATCAAAAATTAATATTGCACTTTAATTAACGAACGTTTCACTTTATCAACATTTGTAAAACATTGCCTACTTTTGCAATAGATATGTCAAATAAGGAAAATATTTAAAAAATAGAATCCACTTTCTCGTTCCCTAAATGTTATTCATTCATTGTTCGCTTTACTGACACCTTGCGGTCACACACAGAATTTCATTAGATTCTTCAGTCTAGCAGTTTTTCTTCATCACACTAAACAGCGTTACGTTCTCGTGTTTGTTAGGAAAACTATCGTTTAAAGATATAAAACTAAGCAGAAATATATTTATATATATTTGTACATTATAGCCAACTTTTTTGACAGTAAAACATGTATACAATAGTTTAGCACCTCTGATGTTGGCATACAGTATTTCAAAAGGAAAATACAAAGTGTAGAAAAAAAAAAGTAGAATTGACTTGGCAGTAGAAACCTGTAGCAGCTTATTAGGGTGTGATAGCATATGCTTTGTTTTATCATTGTACAAATACGTCTAGCACTTAATGCAGTCACCATTTTTCATATAAGTTAGGTCAGCTAAAATAAAATCCATATAAAACACAGGAAAACAAACACAAAAAATGTATATAGAGAAATGCCCCATTAGATTAAAATTTGAGAGAAGATTTTACAATCTATACAGCCGTAAAAGTTTGTGTCTATGCAGAAAGAGCTACTGCCCCCCCTGGTGGTCAGCTTTGCCCAGGCAATCCTTGAGTCCGTCCTGGAGGTCGGCCAGCTGGTGTGAGTGGCTGCTGAGGGTGCCGTTGATCTGTGAGAGGTAGGTGTCCGAGTGCCTCTCCAGCTCCCCGCGGATGCGCTCCAGGTCCTCGGCCAGCTCGCTCAGGCCGCCACAGCGGCCCTCCACCTTGGTGACACGGCTGTCCACGGCCTGCACCTCCTGCTGCACGTCCAGCGCCGTGCTGCGGCAGCCCTGCAGCTCCCCGGCCAGCCGCCTGCCCAGGCTCTGCAGCTCGGCCTTCAGCTGGATGAGCCTGCGCTCGCTGGAGCCCAGCTGCGCAGCCTGCCTGCCCACCACCTGCACGATGCCCTGCATCTGCCCAGCCAGACGGCCCTCTCGCTCCTGCCAGGTGGAGTTGGCATGCGTCACCTCGCTGGCAAACAGGTTGACCGAGTCGCGTAGACCCTTCAGCGTGCGGTTCACAGAGTTGACGCTGACTTTCAGCAGTGTGATCTCGCCCTGAATCGATCCCTCGGCCTCCTCCTTCTCTAGCCTGACCAACAAGGCCTGCAAGGAGCCATTGAGCCTGTCCAGTTGATCCTTATAGGTGTCTAACCGCCCTGACAGCTTCTTTTCTAAACCCTTGCATTCCTCGATCTCGGCATGGAGCTGGGTGACATCCTCTCCAGGAGCAGGGGAGCAGGCGGAAGTGCACAGGAGCTCCAAGTCTGTTAGCTGCTTTTGGAGCCCATCCAGGCCAGTCTCCACCCTCTGACGCACAGACTCAATTTCTGTTTCCAGCGTGGGCACAACTCGTCCCTCCAAGACGGTCGGTGTCGTGGCGTTACTCATCTCCTCCACAGCCACAAATAGCCGGTCCCCGAGACTCTTCAGCTTCTCGTCCAGCAGGACCTTGAAGCCATCCAAGGAATCTAGGCCATCCGGAAATCTGTCGCCGAAGCTCCCCTTCTCTGTCACATTGATCCTGGAATCCATGTCATCCAGGGTCCCCTGTAGGGTATTCGTGTGCTCGTGGAACATGGTCTGGAATTGTCTCTGGGACTCGGTGAGACCCTTTACTGACTCTTCCAGCAGCAGTACTCTCTGTTCCAGGTTGGAGACCAGCCCACAGCAGCTCTCTGTCTGGGTGAGGCCCTGGATCTGAGCCTGCAGGTTGCCCAACTCTTCCCTGAGGCCTGTCTCCCTGCCGTCGAGTGACAGCTGTATCTGTTCCTGGCCGCTGATGTTGTCCAGCAGACACTTGCGTTGCACCTCCCCTATGCGGTCTTCACAGTGGTTCTCCACGCCTGACAGCCGCCTTTCGAAGCCGTCCAGGATGTCGGTTCGCACATTAGCCAGTCGAGTATCCAGAAGCTCTTCCAGGGGCTTTTGAGAACCGTCGATACCCGGCTGGCCAGAGACGACCTGCATCAGCTGCTTGAGCTGCCCGTCGTGCCCGAGCACCATACCGTGAATTTCATCCAGCATCTCGCTCTTCGTCCTCAGGTCCTCCTTCACCTCTGTCACCCTCCCTACCAGGTCCCCGAGGCCAGGGAAGCCCTCGCCGCCTTCCAGGCCGTCAGGTGTGCCATCAGGGATCACACCAAAGCCGACTGACGAGTCCGACAGCCGGGGAGCAGTGTTAAGCAGGGTGCCCAGCATCTTGTTAGTGTCCTCTCGCAGGGACGAGCGCAGCCGCTCCTCCAGACCCGTCACAAAGCCATTCAGCGTGTTTAGGCTCTGAGACAAACGTCGGATGTCCTCCTCCATGCGGTCCAGGCGCTCTCCTGTCACTCCAGCAAACTTCTGGCCTACAGTGACACAGTAAATGCACAACGTGATTATCTTATTTATCTTTATTTAGCAGAGGTACAGGGCATCCACAGGGGGACACCTTTATGGGATGCCCATCCACTACAGGGAATCTGTCTCTACAGACAATTTAGGGACATCTCTTTTCTTAATGACATGATTTTGGACTGAGGGAGGAATCTGAAGTGGCCAGAGGAAACAAGTTACACAAGAAGAGAACATGTGAACTTTACAGATACAGATCCAGAGAAGGGAATCAAGCCCACAGCCCTGGAGATGTGAGGCAACAGCACCACCCACTGAGCCACAGTGCTGCCCAAAGCTATATTGCACCAGGGATTTACGGACACCTGTTTAATGGAGGCGGTTCAGTAATTACCATAGTTGGATTTCATATGCCCTGATGGCAGGAGTCCAGTGGGGAATGGCTCCGCCTCCTCTGGTCCGACCGGAAACGGCTTCATGGGCTCTAGGTGACCGCTGGGGAATGACTTTTGGCCTGGGTGTGGCCTTGGCCGACCGTAGGGGTAGCCCTTGAAATTCGGCCGGGGTACGGATCCTTTGAAAGGCGGCATCATCAGGTCCGGCAGCGACGTGGGGCCCTCATGGCAGCCCTCCCCGGAGAAGCCAGGGCAGCACCTCCATTCAAGCTCCGTCACAACCTTGTAGCCCACCTTGTACTTGGGTTTGTAGAAGGTCCGGTACCTGCGTGATGTCAGATGTGAGGTGATGAAAAGTCAATGAGCTATTTCAGCCAGACAGCTCAAAGTATTGCACATTCACTCAAGAGTGAAGCCAATGCTTGCTTACACAATCCTTTATGTAAGCATTGCCTTTAAAGACAGACTATAAAAAGAACATCCTGCAGTTTTTATTGCCGTATGTTAATTACTACATTTTCTTGGGGCACAAATACACAGTAATCAATGGAGTCTTGGATATGGGGCACAGTTTATAATTTAAATACAAAGGTCTATTTGATGAGGGATGAATGATGCCAAGTTAAATATGGGGGATTGACACTAATGCGTTTCCATATTCAACGCTGATTTACATCTTTAAATATTAAAAACCTATTTCCAATTTTTATAGATAGAATTTCTGTTTTATTCTTAAGTCCGGCTCTTTCTCCTAAGACCAAAATATTGTTTTACGAGTAAACTAAATAAATATTCTTTCCAGAACATTCATTGACAGTAACTCAAGCGAATTAATTTAATTTCTCCTCCAGGTGTTGGCAGGCCGCTGTAGCACAAATGAGTGATACTTTTTTAAAACCAGGCAAATATTTAATTGTTTAATCACATCAGATATTACACTAATTTAATCTAGATTATCATGCTTAGTAATTTTTTTCGTGGAATCCATGAATTCGCTAGCCCTGTCTATGGGAATTTGTGATGTGACTTTCGCGAATGTTTCGATTTTTTGAATGACTCTTCGGTATGAACGATGGGAGTCGAGTCGTACTTGAGAGCCATTGTTTTTTTTTATCATTGTGCGCACAT